CTCGCGCATGGCCTTCTCAGGCCGCGCGTGTATAATCCGCTGCTCCTCCGCCAGATTCGCGAGATCGTGTGCCTCGTGCTCCACCTGTTTAATCCGTTCCTTGGACTCGTTGTGTTTCTGCTCCACGTGATTCAGCGGCTGCACCAGCTGAGCTTTCTCTCTTCGCGCGTCCGCTATGCGCTGCTTGTGTTCTTCCATGGCTGCCTGCAGTTCCAGCACCTGGTCGCCCATCAGCTCCCTCAAGGTGGACTTCCGCTCGAGCCTTGCTTTCGGCCTCCCTGGGCTCCAGACCGACGTGCTCCACATGCGTGCCGAGTTCCACGCGGTGCTTGGGTCCAGCCTCCTCATTCTTACCGTCGCTGCCGAGCACCTCCTCGTCATATTCCTGCAGGCCCACCCTGGGCACGGCGCCATCCGCCAGCCAGCGCCGAGGACTGGAGACGACAACCCCCGCCTCGCGCGGATGGCAAAACAAAGCCGCTGCCCCGTCGAGCGCCCTGCAGCTCCGCTCGAGGGCCGACGGGATCCGCCGCCCTCGGGTGCGAACCTCTCCGAGCCCAACGGCCAAGGTTGGCGACCCGAGCATGGCCACCGGCTCCGCTGCCGCTCCGAGCGTCGCCTGCGCGCGGTCGCCGAGCGCCGAACGGCCAAAGGCTGCCGCCGTCGCCGCGCGCACCGCTCCCGCAGCCGGCACCTTCGCTGCCGCCATGCTCCCTGCCTGCACGCGGTGTAGGAGCTCGGCGGCCTCGCCGACAGATGCGCCCGTGACTGGCGAGGCGCCATGGCGCACCGAGAGGCTGCCGCGGTCGCATCGTGCCTCCGGGTGCTGGCCGCGCGCGCCCGCGTGGCGCGGCGCGGCTGCGGCACTCCCGCGAGCGCCTTTGCTGAAGCCCACATGGCGACGAGGAGGAGGAGGAGGAGGAGCAGGAGGAGGAGGAGGAGGAGGGGGAGGAGGGGGAGGAGGTGACGGACGAGCAGGAGGATGGGCAGGAGAATGAGCCGGATCAGAAAAGGGGGAGGGAGAGGAGGATCAGAACTATCACCAGCGGGAGCAGGCTGCAGGAGCAAGAGCACCAGGAGTGGGGCGGAGCAGGAGGACTAGCGACCAGGGGAAAGCGGAGGAGGGCAACGGAGGGGGGGTGGCAACGACGAGGAAGAACTCGGATCCGGAAATGCGGCCAACGCTGAAGCAAGAACGCCATCCTGACGGCGGGAGCAAAGCGCCGGTCTTGAAATGGAGCCAATGCTGCCGCGGGAACGTCACTGCGGAATACCATCTGCAGGGGGGACCAGGGGACCAGGAGACATATTGGTAATGGGGCCCATGATGCAGCGGGGACCAAGGGATGCGTTGGAAGAAGAAAATCCTGGCCGCGCTCACAATATCCAGACCCACACACACGCACACCGGCATGTGCGTGGACGAGGGGGATCAGGGGCGCATTTGAAGAGAAGGCCATGTGAAGTCTGGGAGAGTTGTCGTGGCCGCGGTCATGATATCCTCACACCCCTGGTCCTCACCCCCCTCTTGACGGGGAGTCGTAAGGCCAAGGTTAGGGGGGCTCGGGCTGGCCTGACGGAGCCGTCAGGAACATGACAGGGGGCTTGAGATTCGACGCGAGTTCCCGTTGCAGAACCCCCGCGAACACTAGGCCTTCAGGACGGGCCCAACAAAAAAGCGTCGGCAAACCCGAGTTCCGGAGGACTCTTGTCTCCCGGTTGCCCGACTACGCTGAGGAGATTCTCGTGTAGGGCAAACTCAAAGTCGGCAGACCCTCCGTCAAAGTCGGCAAGTTCGCACTGGGAAGATTACTTCGCTCGGGAGCTCCCGAACGAAGTGAACCCCACCCTCCCCCTCAGAAATCGTGGGGGGGCTCTTCGGGGTCTTGGGTGCCTCGGGAGGGGCCTCTTGGGGCCGCTTAGGGTCTTCTTGGGAGCCTCCTGGGGGCCTCTTGGGGGCCTCTTGGGGCCATCTTGGGGCCATCTTGGGACCTCTTGGGGCCTCCTGGGCGCTTCTTGGGGCCATCTTGGAGGAGATCGGTCAACGAAGGGGGCATCCTCAATTACGCCCCCCCCCCCCCCCCAAGAGGCCAAAATGGGGCCAAAACCCTAGTAACATCAATGATTTTGGCTTCCTCGCCGAGGCCGTTTTGGACGCTCAAACTACCCGCGGCCCCCCCCGTCCAGGTCCACGGGGACGGGGGTAGGGGGAGGGGTAAACCCCTCCCCGAAGGGGTGGAAGAGGAAACGCCCTAAACCACCGACGCCCAGAGGGCTGGTGGGATTCAACAACAACAACAACAACAACAACAACAACAACAACAACAACAACAGCAACAACACCAACACCACCAACAACATCAAAACAAAACAGAGCCTATTCTTCAAAAAACGAGAACTCCATAACAGAAACCAAGACTGCGATGGTTGCTCCCCGACGCGAGAGGGCCTTGGGACGCCCCCGAACTCCGCGCGCCCGAAGCCCGCACCCCCTCTCCCCCAGGCGGCGCCTGCGCCTGCGCCTCCCGCAGCGCGGCGCCCGACTCCTGAGGCGCGCCCGCCCACTCGCCCGCCCGACCGCCCGACCACCCGCCCGCGGCGATCGCGCCCGACGACGGACGGCGGCACAGGGCCCAGGCATCGTCGCGTCGTGAAGGGGAGGAACCGCAGGACGGCGGGGGAAGGAGGCCGCGGAACGCACCAAGGCGCGCCGTATCCCAGCCCAAGCACCGCCCGCCAGAAGCCCCGCCGCCCCGCGGAGGCCAACCTTGCAGAGAAAGAAGGAGCAGCATATACATACATTGTCGGAGATCGGCGCGGACTTCCTGGATTCCTGCGTCGAAAATGCTAGCCAGCGTGGACCCCAAACCGTGTGTTTCTAGGCGCATTGGGTGTGTAGGGTGTAATCTAGGCGGAGTTATAGATTTGGTGCAGTTTACATGGTGCAACATATTTTGTGCAATGCACATTGTGAATACAGCGTTGTGCTCTATATGTATAAACATATCATATAGTATACATATATACGTGTATGTATATATATAGTTATATATACATGTATATATGTACATATGTATCGATCTGTGTATATATATATATATATACACATGTATATATATAAGACTGCAACGGCGCTTCGCGCCATGCACCTTGGTCCATGAAGTTTGGTATGCAGGCTGAATGGCAGGAAGATCAAACCGACAATTCAGCGATAACTCCTTGTTGCCTTTTCCGGCGTCACCGTTATAAGAATGTGATTCGTTATCCTTGCTCCATGTTTCTGTTTCCTCGTTCTCGCCGTACCCCGAGCAGTCTCTCCATCCTCCTCGGCTTTTTCTTTGAGGAGGCTCCTCCTTGGAGAGCCTCTGGCGGCCTCACGAACGTTTTTCACGCTTTCTTAAGGCCTTCCGGAGGCTTCCTGGGTGTGTTTTGGGGGCCTTTGGAGGTTTCCAGGGGCCACCCTGCCTCCAACAGCGGTCTCCCTGACCGACCGGGTCACGATTTGGAATGCTTCGGAGGGTGTCTTGGGGCCATCTTGAGCCGCCACGGGGCTCTATTAGGGCCATGTTGGACCCCTGTCGTGCCGTTCGGGGGCTCTCTTGGACTGCCTGGAAGCCCTTTCGGATGGTTGAGGGGCGATTTGGAGCCTCCCAGGCGGCTTCGGACGCCCAGAAGACCGCCGTCTTGGAGCGTCGAGAAGCCGAAAAGACGAGAACCCCAAAATTCACCAACAACCCAAAGAAAATCAAAGACTTGTGCCTCTTAGGGTCTTCTTGGGAATACACTTGGAGGCCTCCTGGGAAGTTTTGGAACAGTATTTGGGGGTATGACAGCTTCTTGAGGGTCGTCGTGGACTGTATTGGGGCTCTCTGGGGTCGTTTCGGGGGCGCGCCGGAACGCCTGGAACCCGTCTGGGGCCGTCTTCGGGCTCTCGCGAGGTTCTCCCGAGTCGTCTGAAGGGTTGCCCGGAGGCCTGGGGAGGGCCAACTTCGTTAGGGGGGTCCTGCGTCCTCGGCACGTAAAAGCATATGAATGGGAATATGGCGCAACGCATGTGCTGCACAATCTATGTGGTGCAACCGGCGCGGCGCAACAGATGTACTGATGTCTTCGTGGTGCAAGGTACGCAGTGCATTCCTTGCGGAGCACATTACGTGGTGTATCCTATGTGGTCAAAATATGTTGTGCAATCGATGTTGTGCAACATGTGTGGAACAACCTATGTGGTAAAATAAAACGTTGTCCGCGAAGAGTTTTCAAACCCACTGCCAGCGCAACCATCCCACCCACCCACCCGCAACTTGGTTTGCAAATCCACTGCGGCGGCGATTGCGATGTCTGCTCGGCGCTGGCCGGTGCAAGTCTGCGGCCGCGCAAACCCGCGCATGGTCGCGCGCGGAGCGGCCAGCTAGTTTGGCGCGACCGAAGCGGCCGCGGTGGCGGTGACCACTGGGCATTTCCCAACGGGCATGTCGATGCGAGTCGGCGACTTGGGCGGGCGCGGTATCATGGCAACGTCGACGAAGGATGACACGATGATGATAGTAGCGATGCTGGGGACAAAGATGACAACGCCGACGGCAAGGCCAGTGACGGCGCCCATGCTGAGCACGCCGGCGACGATGCCGGCGACCCCGCGTCTTTGATTGACGTTTTTCGTAAAGGAATTCGACATGCGCGCGCGGCCGACGACCAAAGTGGTCCGCATGGTATTTGCTTAAACGGATCCCCCCCAGCACGCGCGAAAAGGCGTTTGAATGATTGCGACATGCGGCGCGAAAGGCCCACTTGGCAAAATTGAATGGCAATGTTAAAGCACCGATGGTTTTGCTAAGAATTCGCAAAAGCGCGAGCGCAAGCAATTTTGAAAACTGATGCTGCAAAAACCATGCGTTAGCTTCCGTTCCCTTTTGCTTTTGATATGTGTTCTGGGCACTCGCTTCTGAAATCCTCACGGTGCCCCCGATGTTTGACAGAGTCTGGCATGCGCGCGCGACGAAGCGCGCGCGCATTTCGTCCCATCTGTTGCAAAAAGGTCTCGAAACGAATGGCTGGTGGGAAACGAGTGCGCGCGCATAGTTTTTGTTGGAAACAAAAGAGGGCGGGCCACACTGGTTTGACTGGGATGGTAGGATTCATGTTACGGATGAACGAACGTGCAGAGTAACCCGGAAAACACAACACGCGAATGGGTACCGTTAAGTCCGGGAGGGAAGGGGGAGTCGATCACTCTCTCAGAAACGAATACCCGCGAGGTGCAAGTCATGGTTGTTTGCAATAACTTGTCAGACCCAGTGCTCGCGCAATGATCTCACCCACCCACCCTTAACTTGGTTTGCAAAACGCCCATGCAGCGACGACTGCGATGACTGATCAGCGCTGTCTGGCGCATTGTTGCGGCCGCGCAAATACGCGCAGGCTCGCGCACAGACCGGCCGACTGGCCCTGGGCTGACCGCTGGAGATCCCCCCGCACGTTTCGCGGACCGCTTCAATGCTACTCGGTGACCCGGGCGAGCGCGGTATCATGGCAACGACGACAGCGGCTGACACGGCGATGATAGTAGCGATGACGGTGACGATGATGACGATGACGACGGCAAGATTAATGACGGCGCCGATGCTGGCCACGCCGGTAAAAATGGTGGTGTCCACGTGACGATGATGAGGTGTTTGGGAAGATCTCGACATGCGCGCGCAATCGACGGGCGCGCGTGGCCCGGGTGTTACTATGGCACGTAAGGGTGATTTGGTCGCAGTTGATGAAAATGTTGAAGTACTGACGGTCTTCGACGACATTCGCAACAGGGCGCGCGCAGACGTCTGTTTTGAAAACTCACGTGGCACACCCATGTGTAATAACATGTGTTCAGGAACCTCGATATTGCAACCCCTGCGGGAACTGAAGCTCTTGAAAGGTATCGGCATGCGCGCGCAGAGACGCACGTGGACCACGTGTTGCGAGGGGCTCTCGGGAACGCGTGATTGTTGGTAAACGAGTGCGCGCGCATTGTGTGATTTGGCAAAAAAAAGAGCGGGTGGCGATACGGGTTTGACTGGGATGAGTTGAATCCATATGTCAAGCGAACGACGAAGCACAATCACATTCAAACTTGCATATCCCAATGGGGAACGGAGAAGTCTGGCCTCGGGAGGGCGGTGGATCCTGATCCTCTTGAAGAAAGGAGAACCTACGCGGAAAGCCTATGCGGTGCAACCTATGTTGTGAATTTCTGTGATGCAATCGACATGGTGCAATATCTACGTGGCACAATCAAAGTTGTGCACGCTACGTGACTCAACCGATGGGTTACAATGAATTCCTGTTCGCAATGAGTCGGCAAATCCGCTGCTCGCGCAATCATCCCACCCACCCACACGCAACTTGGTTTGCAGAAGCACATGCGGCGGCGATAGCGATGAGTGCTGCGGCGTTGGCTGGTGCATTTCTGCGGCCGCGCTGACCCGCGCATGCCTGCGCGCGCAGCTCAGCGGCCAGCTAGTTTGGCGCGACCGACGCGGTCGCGGTGGAGCTGACCGCTTCCCAGCGGCCACTTCGACGCGAGTCGGCGACTTGGGCGGGCGCGGTATCCTGGCGACGTCGACAGCGGTAGACGCGAGGATGTGTGCAGCGATGCTGGTGGCATGGCATGGCCGGCCCAGGTGGACCCCTGCTCGCGACGCTGGGGCGCAGCACGGCGAACGGCGCCCGACGCCGCGGGGGGCGGGGGAGCGGGGAGAGAGGCTGTTCCCGACGAGCGCGGCCGAAATTCTGGCAAGAATCGGGCAGACGGAAAGGCGCCCCAACGCACCTGGAGCGACGCTCGGGCCAACCTGAGATAGGCGAGCCATTGCGCGCAACAAGGGCTGAGAAGCTCGCTGCAACCCGCGTCTAGAATTCAAAGCACGAGCTCCGTGAATGACCACGCGAGCGCGAAAGCCCGTCCGAGATGAAAAATGAGGCGAAGAAGGAGCCTTAGCGGTTGGACAGCTCCATATCCTGCATGCGCCTGCTGCGAGCGGCCGCCACCGAGATTATATGGAAGCAGCCCCTGACTTCAGGGCCTGCCATCGCGACCCAGCCCGCTCTCTTCGGCGCGGCTGGGCGGCGACACGGCGGGCGCGGCCCGCGGACCTACCAAGCAGGAAGGCTATCCCCCCACCTCCCGTTGCCGACCCGCTCGCAGGGGCACCCAACGGCATCCCTGCGCCAGGCGCGTGGACAGCGGTGGCAGGAGGTCAGCCCCCCCTCTCGCGCTGGGGGGGGGCCCTGCAGGCCCTGCGCGCGCAGGCCCCCTGAGCACACGGAAGAGCCCCAAGAGAGGCGAGGAGGAAGAGGACTGCCCCGCGCTGCGCCAGCGGGGAATCACAGCTAGAGGCTACTCAGCGGCTCTCAGCTATTGAGGCCCAACTCTGTCAGATAGTCTACTTCGTCGGGGAAAGGGGAGACGAGGCTCTCATCCTGCACTGCGATCACCGTGTGTGCGAAACGAAGGCCCAGCAACGCGTTCTCGATGATGAGGTGCTGAGCCTGCAATTTACGAAAC